TGCAATTGTGTATTCATAATCTCCTAACGGTGGCTCGGGGTTTGTAGGGCTCACATTTCAACCACTAGATTGCAGGTTGAAGCGTCGTTCCACCGACTTTAGTTTGAACAGCCGATTAGTATCACTAGCCCGCATTTATTTATTTGTTTGAACATAAATATTAGTACAAGGGGGCAACAAATACGTATGCGCCATACAATAAGAATGAAGCCAGTAGTATCGGCCTAGCCTTCGTGCACAAAGTCTGACCGAAAGCTAAGTACATAAATTTGTATTCGATGATTAGCATCTCCTGATTGTATATTAAATTTATCTTGTTTGTTTCCTTATTCAAGCGGTTTCTGGTTTGTCCGTATCCCTACTTCTTAAGTACTTTCTCTAATGCTTCACAGGGCTTTTTTCACACCGACGTATTATCTGGTTCTATATTGTGTTAATTTTACCTTTCTAGCAGTATTGATTCACCCTAAAACTCATGAGTGACGGTAATAACTGACCTGACTATATGTGGATGGTTTTAAAACCTAAACATCCGGAGTTATTAATTCTTTCATTAAGGCTCAATGACACTCAAACGTGCACTAGTGCTTTTGTTAACTTCCAGTGAAAAATTTGATGGCTACCGACTACTTTTTATGTTATCGACCGAACTTTTCTCAGCAATGTCATCAGGATAAGAAACAATGTATCTAAAAATTACAAACACTCGTCGGCGGTAGGTTTTAAGACTTGTAATCTTTGATCTATCTAATGTGGGTTTTTTTCAGGGATAACGTCACTAAAGCATGAACTTGCGAGGTCTTAAAGTAGACAAACTCGACCCTACCTTGCAAATCAAAACCATTCTTGGGTGAGTACAAGTCTCAAGATAATCGTTGTTTCCCGGTTTCCGTACCACTTTTGATTGTTTAGACGTGTAGGCAGGTCTCTTAACAAATCTGCATTGACGCCTAGTGTTTTGTAAAGAAAAATTGTGTTAGGAATAGTTATGATTAAGATCACGGTTATACGTTGGATCTGTTATTAGAAGTCAACGATACTTATTACTTCAGCGTAAACTTGGTTAAGCAAATTATTTTTACATATATTTGCAGTACAGTTAGCTCTAAAAATGCACCAGTAGCTTTTCAACTTCGTAATTATCATTTCTTTCATTTTTCAGTCGTTCGATCCCGAAAACAAACCAACATTCAGTGCACACCCTGCACGTTTCACTCCGGAAGATCGTTATTCAAGGCACCGAATTACATTGAAATCAAGGTTTGGTATCTTACCAAGCCAGGGTACTCCAATTGTGTACTAAGAAAATGACAATAAAATATTTACTTATTTATATGGGTTTTATTGTTTTGTCGAAAGAGTACAATAAATAGTCAGTTGGCAGATGTAGAGATAATAGGAATATCAAATAAATCGCAGACACCTTCTGTATCCTCCAAATTGTAGTTGAAATCACATTCACTGGGTGGTGGACTGAGTGGCAATAATGGACTCACAAATGCTTTCTCTTCTGAAAATAAAAGAAATTTTCTTTTAAACAAACAAATTACAATGTTACGAAATTTACGTCTGTTCATTCTATGTTATATATATTTTTTCTTAATTTTTGCCCAATTGTAGATGCTGTATCGACTTAGTTTGGGCTTACTTGTTGTGATGACTTAGATGAGCTATATCCCCAGGTCGTACCATACCAGCCACATCTGTTTAAGACCAGCGACTTAAGGCCTGAGAGCAAAGTTTTACTGCTGGCTGTACAGAAGTCTAGTGACAGTAGAGTATTATTTTCAGATAATCGGCGGTTGTGTCTTCTCAGATTTGTGTGAAGGAATCAGAGGGTACACCCTGAAAATAACGCGTTTGACCTTGTCCTACAAATTACTAATGCTGGTCGTAAAGCTTGAATAGCAAAGGGATAACACCAAAAACTGCTTACAACGGGACTGACTGCCCTCCAGCAATTATACCTTGAGCTCTGTGGTCACGCTCCTAAGTCAGCAAGGTCACTACTAATGGCTCAGTTTCTTCAAATATTTCGAGAATATATATCACCCCACATTGCGAGCAATGGGAAGTGACAACCGTCCACATCATTAGAGAGATCTTGTTTATGGTCAAATCCTTACTTCACTTCCCGATATTTTTTGTTTCTACTATTGATTTCACTTTTTTCTCTGCACACAATCAGTGCTAGCGAGTCAGTTTACGAATTGCTATTTCTACCATCCTGAACTGTTGGGGCTTTCTATGTTCAGATATTTTGACCGATTAAACAGCTGACATAACATGTGCTGCTTCTTCGTAACTCATGCATATACAAACCAAGTGTGGTTACTGGTCTGACATCAACTATCTAATATAGAGAACCAACACGACTCCCTCTTGTGTATTTGCAGACTCTGGTCATGCCTTTGTTCTACTGGACGCAGAAAAGCCACATTAGGAAGATATTTTGGAGTTAAACTCAATGATGTAAAGGTCAAAAATATGTATTTCAGAAACAAATAGTAAAAGACTTGGTTGGTCATGAAAGTAATATTCACTGCAATGTAGCTTGGCACGTCATTTAAACAGTGGTGATTTCTACTAGTGGGTTGCAACAAATGGTTAGGATAGGTCACTAGATTTTGTTTGAGTCTACTCAACTGATAGATGCTTGGAAACTCACCTCGTCATGCTCTGAACACGAGGAGCAGAAACAACTTGGAGGTAGACTGGAAAGTTTACTCAATCATTGTGAGCAGTAGCGGGCGATGAGAACAAGAGACAGAAAAGGTAGCAGCGACAATTAACACCGGACGATTGTTCAGGTTTATCGAGGAAAAATGTATTCGAAGGTCGCCTGCTAGTGAGAAACTCCAAAAAAGATAGGACCATGGTCTACTTTTAACCGGGTAATTGGAACGAACAGTGTAAGCGAAAGTCTAACTGACCTACAGTTGCCGACTATTTCCAAACAACTTAAGTAGGAAATTTACACGTTTCCTAGCTCTTAGTGATATGAACAAGATCATATTTCACTCGTAGTGAAATATGATCTTAAGGATACTTGTCCAGTTCTAACAGTTAATTTGGCTTACATACTACCTAAAGGTTGAGAGCTGGATACAATCTCATCTGACTGACCTTAGTCGCCAATCGTTTTATTTTATAAGATAGAAATCCTCTTGCGATAGCCACGAAGAAATCAATTTGGCTAATACAGTGTCTAAAATGTTAGCCTTTATAACCACTTAATTCTAAGATGCCAAACAGCAGAGTTGGTAAAAACGAGCTCGCTTTAGACCTGGGTGGATATTTTGAACAAATATTCCCTGTTAGTCCAGTCTTTAAACATATGGATACTACCGAAACTCGGATGGGAAGCAGTATTCGGCTCCATTGACTGCGACGTTTTGTGGCAGTATTTGTCATGAAGGGATAAACCGAAGATATACATAAACCTTGTGAACTCTCTTAATTCGTATACTACTGATCGAGTCTAGGCTTAGGATGAACTGCCTGATACCTCAATTTGTATTTTACTTTGTTACACAGATGCTTTCAGAGGTAACCACCTTACCTATTTTGGAGGTTCCATCAGTCTTCGTGGATTGGTGTCCAACGGAATCTCGGCGCGAATTTGGGAAGTCTGCTTGGCTTTTGGTAACTTACATCAAATGTGGCGTAAGCCCGTCTGTCAATCAGAGGGCGATTATACAGAGCAGTTCGCTTTTTTCTTTACGGACGTGAAGCATGGCTTCTAAAAGTAGAGGACACTCGTAAGTTAGGTGTTTGATCATAGGTGTCTTCGAAGCACTCTTCGCATACATTAAGTTCGTCAGGTGAGTAATTTCGGGATTAAAGTAAGGGTACTAGGTAAGCATGTTAAATCGGTTGGTGATGCATTTGTATTTCATTACACGCGATGGTTGGGAGGTGTATCTAACTACCATCTACCTCGAAGCACAATGTCTACTGATGTGTCGGTACGCAGGGAGAAAGCTACGGACTGCTAATGTAAAATTATTCTGACAGCGAATAGAAACTGAGCTGGTTTATTATACCTTACTTTAGTATGTGGTATGTATTTCATATACGTGTGTTCTGGTAAATTTCTCCTTGCTGCGTGTGAATTAAGGGACGGCCATGCACGTGTAGTTGAAATTATGTACGACAACATTAGGCTTAGGTACATGGGAACAAATACAACGGTAAATTGAAAAGCCATTGTGTTACATGTTGTTTGTCACTGGGGCAGAAATAAGTAAAAGTGTACTGAACCTCAACTTTTCTTAAGTACAACTTACCATTAGATTTCGCGGCGGGACGACGAGCGAGAGCAATCGAGTCCGAAGTTGCTGGTACAGGGAGTACACGAGCTTTGTCACTACCCTCTTCTTGATTTACCAATAAGACGTGAATCGGTGTTGTGAAGCTTTTCACATGAACCTAGACAATGAAATACCTCAAAGAATTAACAAAAGTGGATATTAACAAGTTAAGGAATACCAGGAAGTTAAAGGATCCTCCGAATGCTATTATATGGCTTTTTCAGGTTTACGTGGACGTGGATTTTTAAGACAGCAAGTGACGTCTCGCAGGAAAAGTCAGGGCCAATGAGCAGATTGTAAACAGAACCTTTATGTTCCGTAATTTGAGGTCGACACTCCCGAAATATATGTTGGTCAAATCCTGATTATAAGCAAGTATCAATCAATGTATATCTAACTGGATTTGACCTACCATATCCATTTTATGTTCATTTTACTCAGAAACCTATTTATTTATTTATTTGAATACATAAATATTGGTACAAGGGGCACCAAATACATATGCGGCACACAAACCTCACTTGATTTTTGTGAGGGCTAGGACACTACCCGGGTGTTCAAACCGAAGCAGGTAGTTTTCTTAGGGAGCCACACCCGGAGCCTTTGACCTAAAGGTCTGATCCACAAAACAGTGCAGCATCGTAAGAAGATGCAGTCCCATGGTACCCGGTGACCAACGATTGGTTCATACGCCACTTGTTCCCTCAGGATACTGGAGCCCATGTGCACCGTTGGTTTGGAATCAGGGTTTTCCAACTCTCCTAGGTGGACTCTCCGTGTCCACCAACCCGGTTGAAGCGCCGGATATTCGCTTTTCGTCCTCTCAATTTCGTAAATAACACCCCGCCACGAGAAGGCAGTGAGTAGGACTCAGAAACTTAACTGTATTGGAAAGTCCAACTTGTCTAAAGCTCGCAAACTCCTGCTTTCTTGAACTCTCAGCCAGTGAGATAGATAGCAAAACTCATCCAAATTCACTCATTTCGTTTAAATTTACTACCCAAAACGTTTGTAACAGAAGTGTTTTATAGATGTTTTAGTTCAGAAACGTTTTGAATATTTCATAGCTTTGGATGCTTTCCGTCCTAGTTCAAAGAACCCACCTATTGAGGGTTCTCATGGTAACAATTTTTAGCACCGTCTGTATACATATCTTACTGTGCTATCTGGATGAAGGATGTCAAGAATTACATTCCTGTGAAACGAAGATTGGTGGTATCAGGTTGTTAGCTAATTAAGTTGGTGATTAATAACATTCCGAGTCACCAAGTTTATCGATCCTATTAGAATTGTCTTGAAACCGAAATCAGTAGCGATCTTAATGTGTTACCTTTCTGTTTTCCATATAAATAGTAGGATGAACGATTAAAAGAAGCACTTCAACTTTCTCTTATCTGGATCGTCTTAAAATTTTTTTGAATGGTTTGTATTTCGTTTGTTCACAATATTATCAATTATTATTGTGGAGGTCATCTCTTTTGGATTTCTATTGTGTTGACATAAATGCAAAAATTGGTTTGTATCAGGCAGATTGTGTAAAGGATTTGCCACAGAAAGAAGACCGATTTTATTTATTTAGCATTCCCTCGTAACATAAAAATCAACAAAATATAACAAGTCTATTATAAATTCAGCAATACACGTCAAAATAATTTTTTACATGATCAACATTAAATACCAGTAGTTACAAAGCTTCACGTGATAAACAGTTCTTAGGTTAGCTCAGAAATAGTGAATGGTCTATTTCTAACAGTGCTTTTACTAATTACTGTGTTACTAAGCTTACCGAATGAATAAGGATATATATATATATATATATATATATATATATATATATATACCGAGTTATAATAAATTAACTGGCCAACAACAAACTTGCCTATCTAATTATTTCCCTCATTGGGATATTACAAGTATATCATATTTATTATTTAAACCTGTCTGTCGCTAACTTTTTTTATACATATATATTTACACCTTTAAAGTTTGGGTGGTCATTATTTTTAATGGCTTAATTAATCAAGCTTATCCAGTTTATACAGGTTTACTAGTTGAAACTTAAAAATTGATTATTTTAAAATAACGTCAACAGTGAAACTGAAAGGTGCACAAGCTCACTTTGTATGAACGTTTTAATGAGAAAATCGTTTGAACAGGTTGTTGCTCCATAGGATTTTCAGGTACAGGTGCTTCCAGTTTAGTTCCAGGTGGTGCACGTATTATCAGCATTGTACGATCTTGAAAAATATTAATCAGATCTTGGTGCGTAACATAAGCGTATTGCATATTATCTAAATCCTCTTGAACATTTTTCAGTGACTGTAAAACTTTTCCTCTATGTTCATCAACTTTTTTTTCAAGATTTTCTAAATACTCAACTTCAGCTTGAAGTTCATCTAGACGAGCTTGAATATCAGGTCCATTTGTAGCTGCACTTCCGCCCCTATTTTTGAGGTAAATATGAAAAGTAAACAGTCATTGATCAAACTCATAAATGTCTGTAAAATACGGAATATAACAGTGGTAAACGGTGACTGAATGACCATACACATAAGTACATAGGTTGATAAACTTACAACGTAAAACGAGCTAACAGATAATTTTGTTATTCCCCATCAGTTTGCAACACAATCACCACTTACGTGCTTTATTGTACTACATGGTGTAAAACCACAGTCATATAAAACGACAACTAACTCTTCATAGTTTTTTACTACACATAAATCCTAGTGCACTTTGCAACAAAGAAGTATGTGCCATATAAATAAAGATATAGTACTGTGAAGAGATGAAGGGAGGAAAGTACGATCGAAAATATTAAATAAATAAATGGACAAGAAAAGTATAAAATATGAGATATAGTCCAACAAAGTTTAATCACGAACGGCTTCTTCCGTCTACGGGGGGTCTCTCTCACTTCTATGAGGAGTATAGAAAATCGCAGCACGATCGCCATCGGTTTTTGTTCCGAGCCAAGTCTGATAACGTCTAAAGTCACCTAGCTGCACAGTCTTTGGAACCCCAACCGAAGAGTTTCGATGCGTTGACAGAATTTAGTCTTAAACAGCTCTCTTTTATACCACAGTTTCATGTCATAAATTGAACATCTCTCTACTTTTTTTAGCCAGTCTGAGTCAGCAAGCAACAAGCAATGTGGAGGCCATTGGGATTACGTAGGTGACGTATATTCAAGCCACTGAAGCCAGTTGTGACACTAACTAAATTACTATCACTGAGCCTGGACACAGTCCTGAGTCTCAGAATCACTAAAGCGATGTCATTGAATATCAGCGATGCTTAGGGGCAAAATATGACTGAACACAGAGTCCCCAAGCATCATCAACTTGAGGTGGTCAGAGTACAGATGCCCTCAACGATGCGTTACAATCCCGAACTTTTACAATCAAACTAACATTATGATGGCGCCAGATGCCACAGACCGAGATAAGCCGTCTTGGCTTTCATTACGTATAGGCTGATCCCATCAACCACTTTACCACTACCAACATACACAAACTTTCGGCCTAATTCTAACTGATTACCAAAAAGTGGGTACCGACATAGGCTCCGGTGAGTCTTATAGAAGTAATTAGCATTTAAAAATTGCTAAGTACATCTCATGCTTACGAATACTGATTGGTAACTTATTAGGTGTGCTTTAGGTAGCTCGTATATCACCACTTAGTAAGACAACAACAGATCAACATCACAACTAGAAAAAACTATAACCTGGCATTTCAAGTCGTATTTTAGTCACAGAGTCACATAACCAACTGATACCCCTTAGCTGCGCTTTTACTTATTATAAGTAAAAATTTATCCCTTTTGTACTTATCTTGAAAAATACAAGGCTCTGACAAATGTGCAACATACGGCAAAGTGACAAGATTGTGAAGGGACCAAAATAGGAACACGAATAACGAGTATTAATGGACATGGCTCATACAATAATATATTCAGAACAGACTCCGCTCACCTAGAGTGTTTACCTAATTCTTGGTGAATAACATAAAATGAAATGATGGTAGAATACACAATGGCATTTTCTCTTGAGTCGGATTTGAGAAAGTCCCAAATCGCTGAATTGCATGACTCCTAGGATCCCATCTAGTGATGCTTGACGATTCAATGAATGCTAAAAAACACACGTATCTACAAGTAAGCACCCATATCATAAACTGGCTTCTACCTTGATTTCCTAAGTCAACCACTGGACCAACAAATGGGGCTTGGCGTAAGTGCAAAACCAAAACGCAATGTAATTTTGTGGTCATGTATTGCAGTTTCGAGATACATTAGTAGGTAAACACCATCACTAACCTTTTGTCTATTCTTAAAAATTGAGCTTCAAAATCATGCAATGGCTTTTATTCTTTTCTTTATGATAGTTCATATTCCTGATTTGCTTTACCACCACGAATACTAGTAAACCTTATGATTTGGTATTAAGGTTGATAAAATACCCTGATCGTGTTTATTTGATGTGGGAACTCTAACATTTGCACACATGTGTTAGGATTACGGTTGCTTATTATTGACTACCGAGACAATATGCGTCGAACATCTCGAAGCTGGTGTTATGTAATGATAACACTTACTGACTCCAAGATATGCCGCAGAGTTTCAGCGTCACTTTCTCGGCAGTAATACAATATGCAAACAATGGTAATGTTAACAAGTGCGACCAAACATTTGGTGAACATACTATTGTTAAACAAGCATACGGACAAACTGTTTGTACGTATTGTGTATCAGATGTCTTATAAACTTGCTGAATTCACGACAGTGCTGATTATGACTCGTATTGATATTGGCCGTATTAGAGTTTATTATTTGCGTGTGGGCTGCGATACTGCCCGGGTGCCCAGACCGAAGCAGGTGGCTATTTTAAGGGGTCACACCGCGAGCCTTTGGCCTAAAGGTCTAACCCACAAGGCAGTGGAGCATCGTAAGGAGATGAAGTCCCATGGTAGCCGGTGACCAACGATTGGTTCATACGCCATTTGTTCCTTCAGGATACTGGAGCCCATGTGCACCATTGATTTGGGATCCGGTTAAAGCGCCGGACATTCGCTTTTCGTCCTCTCACTTTCGTAAACGACACCCGCCACGAGAAGGCAGTGAGTAGGACTTCCCTGGCAGAGGCTGTATACGTGTGGCCGTGTGAGAGTATTTCGAGAGGGACAGCGGACTGCCCCCACTGTCCACCGTACCAGGGCATTTGGGGGCACCATAGTGGTCTACATTCACAGATGAGTTTTATTTGAGTCGTAGGTACACCAATTATATCTTCTTAAGCTAAAAGCTTGAATAATTAAGAAATGCAAGGAAAAAATCGCCGTTTTTTGTGGAACAGGCATCTTCGATTTTTTCGTACGGGCTTGTATTTCTGGGTTGCTTGCTTTCTAGCAAGTTAGAAAGTTGATCGTTATTAGGGAAAGTACAAAAACAAGTGGAGTGAAACACAATAAAACTCCAGTTAGCTAATTAGTTATTTGCACTATGTCAAAGTATAAAAATAAACCAAACATAAAACGAATGCGATAACTGTATGACATGTTTTTAGACACTACACACTACATGGTTCCATGGAAAGCAGACACATCAATACATAAGTTCCGAATCTAGTCATCAAAGATCAATTAAGCTGTTGAGTACTCCAGTGTATCAAAACGTACGTATGGAGAAATGAGTCAATTCATAAAATATCATCATTAAGACTTTATAATGTATACAGACTTACTTCCACTGAATACTGTTCTTCGTTCGCTTTTCTATCAGACCTATACCTTCCAAAACATTCGTAATGTCATAGATTCTTCTTTTTTGCCTCACAGCTAGGAAATCTGCCGCCTGATAAGCATATTAAGGAACGGAATATGAAACATACCATCTTAAGGTCCAAAATTCCATCTGGAGCCTCTTTAAGAAGCTGAACGAACTTTTCAGTGAGTAGACCTAAACTTTTTTCATGGCGGTTGAGATCTCGAAGAGTATGTTGGTCCAGTGGGAATTCATTAAACATAAGTCCCTGGTTCGGATACATATTACAAAGGACCTTGAAACTTGACCTTGAGAATAAAGTTCTCTCTAACTCGATGTACAATATATCTCATGAATGAAATGCTTGTGGAGCGAAGAGAAGAAGCTTTCGCTTGAAGGGCTTCCATATCGGTTAGCAATGGATCGCCGATGCCTCATGGCGGGAACCTAGGTATATTTGACGATAAAAGAGGGAGATCGTTAGTAACTTTCAGAGAAATGCAGTCCTTAATCCTTGAGATTATGTCAGTTTTTCTCTTAAAAGACTCCTTGGAGGTCGCTTGTGTTATCTCAGACGGCAGAAAATAACAGAATTTGACTGATTTTAAGGGGTAGAAGGTGTGAGTACAGTCCAGACCGCGACGTTGTCCTATAATTCCTAGGTATCGTCGTTAAGAATAATATTTAGGCTGAGCTTTAGTAAGTATCTTGGGGAATGCTTATGGGTTTTTGTGATGTCATGGGTCAGTAGAAACTCACGTATGAGAGGCCTGTGTTTGGAAGCTCACGAAACCCTGTTTTCTTAAAGCTCTCAGACTGTGGTAGATAGAGAAGCTATGATAATCCGTTCGGTCGTTTTAGAGTTTAGATGTTTCTATCCGTGGTGTTTGTATGAACTAACGTTCCTTTTTTACTTGATGTCCGCCGAGTTTTGAACTATAAATACAGTTCGTTCGTTTGTCCTTTCTCGTTTGAATTGCTTTATTTTGGGAATTCCTAGTTCGTATAATAAGTCAAATACTTCAAATCCTCACATGGGCGTCGCGATGGGGCCTTTGTAACGGTAAATAAACTCCCAAAATAAATAGCTCTGTAAGCCTTCGACATTGAATACTGACCACATTAGTTTTAATGGACTCACCAAGCTGAAGGCGCTCGGTCATGCACCCACACCAGATCACGAGTATGAACGCTGTGCTCAACATCCCTTGCAATCGCTAGACAGATTAGATCAGTCGATCTTCGATATATTGATAGCCTATCAAATATATCTTCGGACCTCCTATCTTCTGTCTTTTGATTTCACTTGGTGGGCACGATTCATATTAAGTGTCACTGGTTAAAGCGCTGCCAAACTCCGAATACCTGTGGCATCTTCATTGGTGAGATCTGGGACACCGAATTATGAAGTGTGAGTCTGTTCCTTTTTAGGATTTTACATATTATTGCTTTATTTTAGCTCTTACATATTGTAATATTTTCTCCCGTGTTTTTGGATATATATGTACTTTTCACTCGTTCATCCTCGTACTTGATATTTCACCATGACAGAACAGACACTCAAGGTACTTAAGTGAAAGACCACGTCTCTACCTTCGTTTATCACCTAATACCCTTCTGACCAGACAATATTGAAGCCTGATTCTGTTACGCAGAAGCCGACTTCTACGAGCACGGCGTGAACGACACATGTGCACTATTCCTCGCAGTAGTCAAGGCATTACCGCACGAATTAAACAGGTACGTAACACCTAGTATGTTTACTAGTGATGTTTCTGAACTCTATGAAACACTAAAACGATCTATTTTTAAACACGGAGGTCTAACCCATAGACAAGGGTTAGATCAACTCCTTAATAATATCGACCGGCAACACGGTTCAGCGACAGACATGTTGCTTGGGATATCTAGTAAACAAGTCAAAACAAAACCGATTACTATTTTAAAACATAAGACTAGACAGCTTGGCTGAAGAAATACATTGACTTCAGTAGCAGCAGCAGCCACAACCCAGAAAACAAAGCAAAATGATGAAAAAATTACTTCAACATTTAGAGTATTACATTAACTTTTGTATTTTAGCACAATGAAACATTAAATTATGTAGCTACACAAAACAAATAGCAGAGAAAGCAAAAAACGAAGAAAGCCGGCTGCTATTGCATATCAAGATAGCGGATATAATAATTCCCGCTTCATTCTGATATGTCGTTAAGCATACTGTCACGTTTACGAGATTGAGTTGCATTTAATAACAGCCCGAAAGTTTGCTACCTCGACGATGCTGGGGCAGAAGTTAGCGTTCTTTCGGCGAATTCTAACGACCGGTTTCACGAATCGATTTTAGACTTACAGGCGGCAAATGGAAAGCCTATCGCTACATATGGCAAAAGGTACGTTTACCTTAACGTGGGTTTACGCAAACCCACTCACTGGATCTTTGTTGTTGCAGATGTTTCTACGCCAATCATTGGTATAGACCTCCCACAACACCACATTTTACTCATCGATACCCACAAATAGAGGCTAGTAGACGGAAGCACTAATTTGTCTGTTCGCCCAACTTCTTTTTCCGGTTTCAAATTATCTCCAGCCACAATGAAGCACACGATAGACCCATTCTATCAACCACTACCCGTGAAGTATTATGGGATATGCCAACCGCAACCGAAATTGCCGTGTGCAACCAGCAACGCTACACATCACATCACAACTACAGGACCACCTGTATTTTCTAAAGCACGCCGACTAGCCCTCGAAAGGCTAAGGTTGGCGAAAAACGAGTTCGACCACATTGTAGACTTAGGTGTCATAAGACCGTCAGACAGCACACGGGCATCTCCGTTGCACATAGTCCCTAAAATGGACAGCAACGATTGTCGTCCAAATGGTGATTATCGGCGATTGAATGCGAAAACCATCCCTGGTCGTTACCCGTTGCCTCACATTCACGATTTGACAGCTACCTTGAAAGGTACAACTGTCTTTTCGAGAATCGACTTGGTTAAAGCGTACAACCAAATCCCTATGGCTACAGACAATATGGCGAAAACTGCTATCATTAATCCCTTCGAACTCTACGAATTTTTGCGAACGCCTTTCGGTTTAAGAAACATTGCATAAACCTTTCTTTTATGGTACGATGTGGTATGCTTG